GTGTGCGTGTGCGCGTGCATGCCCGTGTGCGTGTGCGCGTACGCGTGCGCGTGCGCTTGCGTGTGCGCGTGAGTGTGCGGGCGCGCGTGCGCGTGCGAGTGCGCGTGCGCGTGCGTGTGCGTGTGCGCGTTCGCGTGCGTGCGCGTGTGCGTGTGCGCGTGCGTGCGCGTGTGCGCGTGCGTGTGCGTGTGCGTGTGCGTGCGCGTGTGCGTGTGCGTGTGCGTGTGCGCGTGCGTGCACGCGTGCGTGTGCGTGTGCGTGTGCGCGTGCGTGTGTGAATGTTCGTGTGCGTGTGCGTGTGCGTGTGCGTGTGCGTGTGCGTGTGCGCGCGCGTGTGCGTGTGCGTGTGCGCGTGCGTGTGCGTGTGCGTGTGCGCGTGCGTGTGCGTGTGCGTGCGCGTGTGCGCGCGCGTGCACGCGCGCGTGCGCGCGTGCGCGTGCGCGTGCGCGTGCGCGTGCGCGAGCGTATGCATGTGCGCGTGCGCGTGCACGTGCGCGTGCGTGTGCGCGTGCGTGTGCGCGTGCGCGTGCGCGAGCGCGTGCGTGCGCGTGTGCGCGTGTTGCGCGTGTTGAGCGTGTTGCGCGTGTTGCGCGTGTTGCGCGTGTTGCGCGTGTTGCGCGTGATGCTTGTGATGCGCGTGTTGAGCGTGTTGTGCGTGCTACGCGTGCTACGCGTGCCGCGCGTGCTGCGCGTGTTGCGCGCGTTGCACGTGTTGCGCGTGGTGCGCGCGTTGCGCGTGTTGCGCGTGTTGCGCGCGTTGCGCGTGTTGTGCGCGTTGCGCGCGTTGTGCGCGTTGCGCGTGTTGCGCGTGTTGCGCGCGTTGCGCGTGTTGCGCGCGTTGCGCGCGTTGCGCGTGTTGTGCGCGTTGCGCGCGTTGCGCGTGTTGCGCGTGTTGCGCGTGTTGCGCGTGTTGCGCGTGCTGCGCGCGTTGCGCGCGTTGCGCGTGTCGTGCGCGTGTTGCGCGTGTTGCGCGTGCCGCGCGTGCCGCGCGTGGTGCGCGCTGTGCGCGCGGCCCGCGTGGTGCGCGTGGTGCGCGTGTTGCGCGCGTTGCGCGTGGTGTGCGTGTTGTGCGTGGTGTGCGTGTTGCGCGTGTTGCGCGTGTTGCGCGTGTTGCGCGTGTTGCGCGTGATGTGCGTGTTGTGCGTGTTGTACGTAGGGTGCTGTGCGTGTTGGGCGTTCTGTGCGTGTGGTGCGTGGAATGCGCGATGTGCCTGGAATGCGTGGTCTGCGTGTTGTGCGTGTTGTGCGTGTTGTGCGTGGTGTGCGTGTTGTGCGTGTTGTGCGTGTTGTGCGTGTTGTGCATGTTGTGCGCTTTGTGCGTTTTGCGCGTGTTATGCGTGTTGTGCGTGGTGTGCGTGGTGTGCGCGATGTGCGTGTTGTGCGAGTTGTGCGTGTTGTGCGTGTTGTGCGTGGTGTGCGTGTAGTGCGTGCTGTGCATGTTGCGCGTGTTGCGCGCGTTGCGCGTGTTGCGCGTGTTGCGCGCGTTGCGCGTGGTGTGCTTGGCGTGCGTGTTGTGCGTGGTGTGCGTGGTGTGCATGGTGTGTGTTGTGCGTGTTGTGCGTGTTGTACGTGTTGTGCGTGTGGTGCGCGTTGTGCGTGTTGAGCGTGTGCTGCGTGTTGTGCGTGCTGTGCGTGTTGTTCGTGTGGTGCGCGTTGTGCGTGTTAAGCGTGGTGTGCTTGGTGTGCGTGTGGTGCGTGCGGTGCGTGTGGTGCGTGTGGTGCGTGTGGTGCTTGCGGTGCGTGTGGTGCGTGTGGTGCGCGCGGTGCGCGTGGTGCGCGTGGTGCGTGCGGTGCGCGTGGTGCGCGTGGTGCGTGCGGTGCGCGTGGCGCGTGTGATGTGCGTGGTGCGTGTGGTGCGCGTGGTGCGTGTGGCGCGTGTGGTGCGCGCGCGTGCGTGTGCGCGAGCGTGCGCGTGCGCGTGCGCGTGGTGCGTGGTGCGCGTGGCGCGCGTGGTGCGCGCGCGCGTTCGCGCTCGCGTGCGCGTGCGCGTGCGCGCGCGCGTGCCCGAGCGCGTGCGCGTGCGCGTGCGCGCGCGCGTGCGCGTGCCGCGCGCGCGTGCGCGTGCGCGTGCGCGTGAGCGTGCGCGCGCGCTTGCGCGTGGGCGTGCGCGTGCGCGCGCACGTGCGCGCGCGCACGTGCACAGTGCGCTTGCGCGTGCGCGTGCGCGTGCGCGCGCGCGTGCGCGTGCGCGCGCGCGTGCGCGTGCGCGCGCGTGTTCGCGCGCGCGCGTGCGTGTGCGCGCGCGCGCGTGAATGAGCGTGAGCGTGAGCGCGAGCGCGAGCGCGAGCAGCGCGCGTGTGCGTGCGCGGGTATGCGCGCGTGCACGTGCGTGCGTGTGCGCGTGCGCGTGTGTGCGTGTGCGCGTGTGTGCGTGTGTGCGTGCGTGCGTGTGCGCGTGCGCCCGCGCGTGCGTGTGCGCGCGCGTGCGTGCGTGCGTGTGTGCGTGTGTGCGCGTGTGCGTGTGGGCGTGTGTGCGTGTGGGCGTGTGTGCGTGTGCGTG